TATTAATTTTTAAAATTATATTAATTTTATTTACGTACTAACATAATTCCACTAGTAAGATTTATGGAAGTTCATGTTATCGCTTGCATGGTGCCACGTCTACAGTTACATAAGTAACCCGTGTCCTAAATAATTATATTTTTTTGTTAATTTAATTAAGTTTTGTATTATAACTTAATTATTTATTGTTAATTAAGTTAGAAAAACAAAAAAACGTGAGTTTTCTCTTTGTTTTCAAGTCACATGTTGCTTACATGGCAATATTTATGCAGTACCACATAAGCAATGACATGGTTTCCATCCAACACAATTTTTTTTTAAATAAAGATTTTAGACTATAATAAAAAATGTCAGTAGTTAATTAATTATTTATATAATTAAGCCTCATATATGGTTTGGCTAAATAGACCGCTAATTAGGATTTTTTTTTTTAAATCATTGAAACGATTCATGATGGGCTGGTAATTTATTTATCAACCAATGAACTTTTACAACTAACTTCGGGGGTAATTGATATTCTACAATGTAAGAAGTAGCAAATATAGCTCCATTTTTCACTATACTCGCATGTCATGCGATTCGAACTCAAAATCTCTTAGTTTTAGTAAAAGAAGATGACAACTAAATTATTTAAGTATTTGTGTTACATGAATAATTTTAATTATTCAATTAATTAAATTCAAATTAATTTTTTCACTTTATATATATTAATTAAAAAATATACATTTATTATACTCTTATTCTCCTCTTTAAAGTTAAAAAATTCCGTTTTAGAAATAGAAAATTACATAAGTATTTTCCAATTTCATAATAACTCTATTTGGGCCTACTCTTTCTGATCGGTCTTTATTAAAGTGGGACGAACCAAACAGGGTGCAGGATTTTGTCATCAAGAGGATAAGGAGATAGACGGATAAAGGTGGATATCCTCAGCATCCTTTGAAAATCACAGCAAATATATATACCAGGTTGAGGTTGTGGGACCCCAATCTACAGATATTAAAACGGGATTTTTTTTTGGCGATAATTTCGATCAGATATTAAAACTTGATTTTTTTATTGAAAATCAAGTGTTGTGACATTTTTGAGAAACGAAAATTTATTGCCGCCTAAGTTTATTTTTGATGCACTTAATTTGGTTTTTTTTTTTTTAATTTTTAATATAAAATTTACATTTAATATAAAATTAATTAATAATAAATAAAATAACTTACTTTATCCCACTCAACAAATATTTAAACTTTAAAACCCATAGACAGTACAAAGCCCTTCTGAAAGCTTCCATTACATTACACTAATGTAAAGGAAACATATTGACGATGCTTCCCGTGTGCTAAGGGGCAAGCACCCACAGATTGGACAAGCAGCAGACTGGAGCAGGCCCTGTAGGGATAAGCTCAACAAAAAAAAATCAGACAGATCCAGAATGACCGTTGTCGAACAAAGTCAATTCTAACAGGTTCTAACTTCTACCATACTTCTTCAGTCTTCCATTCCACCCTTCATAAACCCTCAATTTTCCAATCTAAGCTCTCATATTCTGCCCTGATTTTTCACGAGCAAACAACAATGGATCAGTGTGTTTCCAAGTTCCCTATTCTCTCCTACGTTCTTTCCCAGATCGATCCCAGCTCCCACCCATCTCTCCCGCCGGAAACTCACCTGAATCTGATGACCCAATTCCCCCACTTAACCAATCCCAAGATCCTTTCTTTGCTCTCACAATCGATCCCCATCACTGTCACCCAGACCTTCTTCCTCCTCCGCTCTCTGGGTCCTCGCCCGGACCCTGCTGCGGTTTCCGCGGCCCGATCCAAGATTGCCCTGATGTCGTCGCCAGAGGAGGTGGAGATATACAAGGCGGTGGTGAGATTGGAGGAGATGCACGAGGGGTATGAGAAGCAATTGGGTGAAGTCGAGGAGAAGTTGAGTCGGGTTTATGGTTCGGTTGTGGAGGAGGTGGGGCGGGAGGATGGGGATGTGAATGAGGAGGTTGTGGGGATTCTGAAGGAGGCGGAGAGTCGGGTTGTGGAGAGAGTTGAACTCCCTGGGAGGCAGCTGAGGTTCTTGCCTGAGGCATTTGGAAAGCTTCATGGGTTGGTTTCCCTCAATCTTTCTCACAATGAACTAGAGGTGAATACAAGGCTCCAATCTTCTGCATTCCTTTTTTCAATATTCCGTCTGAATATGTATAATTGTATATATGCAATTCGAACTAAACTTGGAAAACTATGGTTGCTAAGACCATGAGGATTGTTCTGTGTGCATGTTTGATTGAGGCAAAAGTTACCCATGTTGGTATAACCCGCCTGATTTTTGACAGTCCACGGCCTGGCTTTCACTAGCCTAGAATGAGATTAGATTGTGCTTCTTTTGTTTAGTGTCTATGGTCATTAATTTTCTCTAGTTGCATCATATTACTGATTTTACGTGCTTATGTTTAGATCAAGATTAGTATTCATTGGTCCACTTTATATGTTAGAATACTTAGGTGGATTAGAAACAGTATACATTTGTGTTTCTTGAGGCTGAAAATTTTGGCATTTCATCAATTTGTAATAACATTAACATACCTGCCTTTTATGTGTATCTTTGTCGGCTTCAAATCCTTCTGTGCCATGTGCTGTCTCCAGAAAGTTGTTAATGTTCTTTTGTGTTATTCCAACTCACAGTAAAATATGTACATTCCTAGCTACTGTTGATTACCTCTCCTTTTGAAATTAGAGTGCAATTTGTCAAATAAATTAAAAAATTGTATGTTTCAGAAGCTGGCTATTTACTCTCTTGGTTATTGCAGTAAAGAACCTGTGTATTAATTGATGAGTATAATGTCTTATTTTGCAGAGTATGTAGAATTCGTTTTCTTAATAATGTGTGACATGTTTGTGTTTGGAAACAGGTGATTCCTGATTCAATAGCTGGTCTACAGAAACTTGAGGAGCTTAATCTTTCTTCCAATCTCTTACAGTATCTACCTGACTCTATTGGATTGTTACTTAATTTGAGGGTCCTCAATGTGTCAGCAAACAAGCTAAATGCCCTGCCCGAAAGCATTACTCGTTGCAGGTACCATAAAGTTTTCATGTTCTCTTCTGCCAGGCTTCTCTACGTACTTTTTTTGGTGGCCAATGTTTAATTCTTTTGTGCTCTTTCCATCTGGTTCATTTCTGTGGTTTATCTTGTGCTCTCTTTTCAGTTCATTGGTTGAGTTAGACGTGAGCTTTAACAACTTGACAGTCTTGCCAGCAAACATGGGGTACGGACTTCTAAATCTTGAAAAGCTCTCAATCCAGCTGAATAAGATCCGCTACCTGCCACCCTCAATTTGTGAAATGAGGTCCTTGAGATATCTGGATGTTCATTTCAATGAGCTCTGTGGTCTGCCCCATGCTATTGGGAGGTTGACAAACCTTGAAGTCCTGAATCTGAGCAGTAACTTTAGTGACCTGAAAGAGCTTCCAGAGACCCTTGGTGATCTGATTAATCTCAGGGAGCTCGATCTTAGCAACAACCAAATTCGAGCTCTTCCAGACACATTTGGCCGCCTTGAAAAACTAACAAAACTTAACTTGGACCAAAATCCACTCATCATTCCCCCCATTGAGATAGCAAACAAGGGAGCTGAAGCCGTCAGGGAATTCATGGCAAAGAGATGGCTTGACATAATAGCAGAGGAACAACAGAAGGGCATGCTAGAAGCAAACAATCAACAAACTCAGACTGGATGGTGGGGATGGGGAACCTCATTGATCAATAACCTTGTTTCCGGGGTTTCTCAAGGTGTTGGAGGATACCCGAGCGGGACAAAAGCTTCTAGGGATCCATATTTGGACCAACAGTTGTGATTTCATGGTCATCACCTCGTTTCTTTTTCCCTTTTCTCGTGGAATGTTCTGTACATAGTCCAGTATAATTACAGTCTTGGATTAAGACTCTGTTTGTTTTGTTCTGTTTTGGTGACTGGAAAGGCATAGTTTTCCTTGCATGAACTGGAGCTTCTATCTTTTTCTATGGGCTTACATGTAACATAACAGGTATATTTCATGGGTATTATAAGAAGTTAATTATAAATAAAAGTAGGCCTGCATTTCTACTGTTTCTTTTTTACTTAATTTGTATGCTCATTGTATAACGTGGCATATACACTTGTAAAGTTCGAGTAATTGTTGTTGTGGTTGTTATTGATTTAGAAAAGAAAAAGAAAGACAACTATGAATTTTATTATTATTATTATTATTGTTATTTTATTTATTTATTTATTATTATTATTTTTTGTATTTGCAAGAGATTCAAGTGATTTGCTGAAGGGATTGCACTGCGCATAAATTGTTGCGGGTATTTTTTTTTTTTTTTGAACTAGGACAATTGGGGGATGGGGAATGAATTGAATGATATTATTAAAACTTGAACTTTAAATTTTTAGATACCATTATAGTTTTTAAAAGAGTTGTGATTATTGGATTGTAACGATGGTTTTTTCCGTGGATTTGTACGTGGGTATTTTAAATAAAAGTAGAAAGCTTTATTTTATTAATCAATATCAATACTAGTTATTATCAATATTACTTTTCGAATTTTGTTGCCATTAAATCTAGAATATATTAAAGAGTTTGACTAACTTGTGTTTTTAATATACAAGTTAATGGTGTAATAAATATATATTTTTTATAATTAATTCACATAAAAAATATAAAAATTAACATTTATTTTAACATCATAGCTAGGTATGTAATTGATTTTAATTAATTAATTAAATTAAAATCAATATTTATACTTTTAATAAGAATTAATTATAAAAAAATATATTAATTACACTCTTTATATCTACCTTAAAAAATACTTCTTTTAACAACCAAAAAAACTTTTTTTATTATTAAAATATAATAGGTACTCTTACCCATCTACATTCGTTCTTTGTTGGAGAGAGATATTTCTATTTTTTATACAATTATGCTATCCCACTTTAATTTTGACAATGTCAAGCAGCTACTTAGATCTTAGTACCAATCAGTAAACGGAAAACTTCAATCATTTTTGTTCCCACTAATCCATAGTGAGGTCTCCTCTGAACTAATTCCAATCCATCCTCCACGTTAGCTTCCTTATCATTGAAAATTGCAACATTTCTCCCTAACCATATAGTCCATGTCACTGCAAACCATATCACTAGCCAGCCCGTCCTTGCATTTGTTACACGACTATGCTGTACGAAAGCTACTTTACAGTCTTCATACATTATGTGAGATACTCCCCACAATTTGGCACATTTCATCCATAAAGTATAGGCAAAGTCACATTTTAGTATAAGATGATTAGTGTCTTTACTATCTTTTTTGCAAAACCCACATTTGTCTTCTTCCCCATTCTTAATAATGTTTCTTTTAATCAGGTTTATTTTGCAGGGGATTCTATATTGGAGGACCAGCCAAGTGAATACGCATACCTTGCTAGGAATTATAAGATTCCAGCACTTCTTTAATAGTTTCCTATCTTCCAAAGCCTCGTTTCTTGCTAACAAAGTGTAAGTAGACTTCACATTGTAGTTGCCCCTTGTCATGTGCCCATCGCCAGCTGTCCTTCACTCCTTTTCTTAGTTGTACACCATGTATGATTTCCATGATTTGCTCTGCCTCCCTAACCAGTAGATGTCTTCTCCAATTTAAGCACCATCTCTATGCATCACCCTCCTAATGACCCATTTCATTGATTGTGTATCTTTTACCTGTAGAAAGAAAATATAATCTTGGAAATTTCTCTTTTAAACACCCATTCCCCACATAGACATCCCTCTAGAAGGACACATCATTTCCTTCTCTTACTTCTACACTAAATCCCGATTCCAACCACCCCTCATACTCTAAAGGTATTGGTTAAAAAAACCCTGCATTAAAATTGAGGAGAACTTATTTGTTTCAATAGGTAGAAAGAGAGGGAAGAAGAAAAGGAGGGGATAAGAAAGGTGAGAAATTGGTGTTGAACTGTTGAAGACAGAGACAAAATGAAGGAAGAAAAATGGGTTTTTTTTGAGTAAGAAGATGGTTTTAAGAGTAAATTTATATTTTGATTTTGCAATCCATTTGGATGCATCAATAGGCCAAAGGTCTGTAGATAGCTACAGGGCTGAGATTTTAGGAAAATATTTATTTTATGGAGTGTGCACCATCAGCTATTGAACTGACGGGCGTGGGCATCATTTTCCTATTTCTAAATATATACATAAACACAAATAAGCAAATTTCATGTATCTTTTTATTGGGTAGATTTAATTAGGATTTAACTTTTAGGTCAGTAACTAAAAAAATGAATTTTGTTTTATACATCATGTTAAATGTGAGAATGAACTTTTAATATCACAGCAAAAACCATAATAAAATTTTTTTTAAAGAAGGGTAGGCTACAAATGTATCCATCATTTTTTTTTTAAAGTAAAATAAAATTTTATTATTATTAGAGTATAAGAGATACTCAACTCATAAACACTATCCATGAACATTATCAGACATATAACATAAAACCCATGAACCCATAAAAGGAATGTATCCATCGATTGAATAATATCAGTAAAACAATTAGGTTTAACGTTCAATGGAGATTTACATATATGTCGATGATTGTTTCGGGTCCAATATTGAGATATGAAGAAGCGCTTCACTTCATATTATGATGAGAACGACAAACTGGATGTCGATTTGAACGCACTGAAGCAGAAGATTTGCTACTTCTTCGACTTCTGTCCGGCACAGATCCGTTCCTAACCTACGTCGACTAAGACGGTGACGAGGTAATGCTTGAAGATGAAGATGATTTCAAAGAATCATTTTACATGCAAAACCAAGATTTGAACCCCATACTCATAAACGCCTCCTAGAAGAAGAAGAATCGTCAAAATCGATGAAGATTGTTGTCAATTTGCATCGGTCATCTTTGTCCAATGATGTAAGTTGCATGGCGGAGAAGTTCGAGACAATTCTAGGAGGAACTCAAGTCAGAACCTCAAAGAAAGGCAAGAGTACTTGTGAAGAGCCAAACCCTATCTGATTAAGATGTTTGAAAACATTAATTTATAAGTTAATCTTTGAGATATTATTAGGAAGATTAGATAATTTTTGTTTCCTTCAAGTGCTTTTTAAAGAATGTTAGTCATAATTTGGGTTTTAATTTAGATAAAGAAACTTAATTATGAAACATTGGTTAGTTAAATACTAATTTTATGTTGGATTCCTTTTTCTAGATATTATTATTCGATGAATTTTTGCATTTTTTTCTTTTTACTTGGGTCCAACTATTTCTTGACTTCCCGACTGCCTAGTGGTTTAAATTAATTGTCATCCACATCTTTCGACCAATAATTCTGACAAACTTGCTGCCAAGTTCCCCTTAATTTCAAAGAAGTTTTTTACATCCTAAACGAAGCTTTGAAGTTTGAACACCCCACCCATAAACGTATCCTTGAAAAAAAGAATATCTTAGGCATGCAACAGATACTCTTACTCAATTGTGCCCAGGATATCATCATATATAAAGAATTACACAGCGAAATTGATGAAGATTATTGTTATCGATTTATATGTGTCATCTTTGTCCCAAGGAATTAATTAATAAACATTGGTTACATTTAATATTTGTTTGATAGGTGGGAGCGTAGCTAATATGGTAGAGCGCTCGCTGAGAGGCACGGAGTTTGATTCGCTGCACCTCCATTTTTCTACATTCTGTTTTTCTCTCGTCATTGTACCCAAAAAAAAGAGAAAAATTATGTTGGAATAACTTCTTCTAACTATTATTATTATTCATTGAATTTTTGTAACTTTTCTTTTCACTCCTAGAAATGAAAAAAAAAGTAGTATAGTTAGCCAATTCCTGTTTCTGATAGCCTTAGTTTCCACGCCCATATTTCTTCATTATTTCTGGCAGTCTTGTTGCCAAGCTTTTCTTTGTTGCAGGGGAAACACCATTTTGACCGATAATCGACTCCAGAAAAGCCTCTCCTAATAGTCTGTTCTTTATCACTGCACTCTCGACCTTCGGTATCGACACATCTTTGGAAAAGCGAAACTGTTTGATGCAATGAAACATAATATCACACAGACAATTAAGAAACTCTGCCTTCAGTTCTAAACAGATACGTTTTTTTGGAAATTTCTTGTACTTACTATTAAGGATCCACTGGTAGATAATGACCAGTAAATGGAGGAGCCTGGTAGGAAGTCCTGAGTCTTGAAGACATTAAGGAAAGTCTCAAGGGCTTTGGTTTGTGCAGGGGCGTAAACTCCAGCAGATTTCCAAATTTTCACACAATTATGTGCGACTTTCTCTGAGTATTGCTGACCCGTTAAATGTCTGACGAATGACACCCGGATGAACTTCTCAAAGGGACCTAAAATTTGATCAATTCTTCTATTAAATTTCAATCAATGTCATATTTTCATTTAAAATTAAAAAAAAAAATTATATTCATATAGTGTTACGAAATCAACGTTTACCACTTTTACTACTTCAATTTTGTTCTATTTGATTTAAAATGTGTTAGTTTTTGCACTGACACTTCTCTACTAATGAATTTAATATTTGAGTTGTTTTCTTTAATAGCATGAATAAGTAGAGTATAGATATTTTGTTACCTGTAACTATATCTTTAAAGAATTCAATGGATTTTTCCAACCTCGCTACGGTACTGCACCGCCACTTATCGGCGAGCCACGGGACTGCTTTCTCTTCAAGGTACACTCCGATGGCCGTGAACTTCACGAACTTGCCTTGGAGCTCCAAACCTCTGATCCCTGGTGAAGTTAAAACCAAGGAAAATCAAAATCATGAGATGATCCAATCAACCAGAAATATTTTGCTGCTACTAGAGAGGTGACTTGATTAATAAATAACCTGCGCCACCAAGGAAAAGAGTTTCGTTTGATCCCGGCAGCTTGACCGATGGCCGGAATGTAAAATTCTCGACCTTGACCTTGGTAACAGGCTTTGAAAAAAGTATCCGTTCGTCCATCTGGGAATTATACCCAGGCAAGCCGATCGTCAAGAAACAAATTGTCAATGTTATGCGAAAAATTAAACTTTTAGTTGGAGGAGCCATTTTGCGCGTTTCTTTCCCAAAATCAGACCTTTGTCTTTCGTAGAATTGTATGATTTCCAGGAGTGAGAGAAGCAATGGTGAAATGGACGCAAGCAGAAATGTATATATATATATTGTGAGATTAAGAACTTGCAATTAATGCACTGGTGTCCGTTTGTTTTTCAAGCCATGAAATTCAATTAGCTGTGACTTCAGTTTCACACACCACTAATGGAACGGGGTAAAAATAACTGGAAAATAATATAAAATAAGTGTTACATAGTATGGGTTGTATTAGATTACATAATTATGACTATTGAATGGGGTTAACTTCTTTGATATTGGAGATTTCATCCTCATTTAATGACTCATATTTTATTTTATAATTTAATATACTCTGAATTCTAAAATAGAGTACTCCAATAATATTCTCGCGAGATGTATGCTATATTCCCTTATTTAATGAAAATGTATACTCTTTACCTTAGAATAATAAAAATTTATTTTATGTTATTTAAGACAAATTAATTTATATTATATTACTCTTACAAAAAGAAAAAAAAAAATAAAGAGAAAATTTTATATTCAACTTTAAATAAGAAAAAATCAAGACTGATTATTGGATAGAGTTTATTATATTTTTATATTAGGATAATGATTGGTATGCCCTTCGATTCAACATATCTACCAACACATACTGATTCAATAATTAAAAAACTAGTATTTTTAAATTTGAATTTAAGATGAAAAAATTTTCAAAGGCAAATTTTAATAATCAAATCAATGAATGATTTTAAGTGTGTTAAATCAAAAAGTGTACAAATCATTTTCCTTTATATTAACATGACTCAAAATTAAAAGGTTTTGTATATTATTTTTCTTTTAATGAGTAGGCCTTCTACAACTATATAAACTTATAAAATTATAAGAATTGTCGGGAAGAGAGATAGGGCCTCTCTTTAATCCTCCCCAACATAGGTTTACCTCAGAACTCTAGTAGATTTATTTTTTTTAATAAAATAAAGATATAATACTTATTGGATAAAATTTTATATTCATCTTAATTGATTACTACTTAAATATAATTTTTTATTTAATATATTTTATAATTATTTTTTAAAAATAAAGGTAAAAAATAAAAATAAAAACATTAGATGATATTAAAAAACAAGAATTAAATTTAAAAGTTTTAAATTATGTAGAAATTATAAGTTTATTAAAGTTAAATGAAGAAGATAATAAAACAAATTATTAAAAGTTAGGGAAAAATAATAAAATTAAAGTAAAAAAATTTTATATCATTCAAAATATAAAAAGGTAACTATTAATTTAAAATAAATTTTAAGTAAAAATATCTATTATTTTAAAATAAAATATCTATTATTTTAAAATAAAAAGAATATAATACCATACATTACTTCTCAATTGAAAGAAATAATAATTACACCACATATATTATAAGTTTTCATTATAAAAATACATTGTAAATGCTTATATCTATTGTTAGAGAAAATATAATATTATATATTATGTGAGGTATATTATGAGATTTTATTATAAAAAAAATGCACTGTGAATCAATCTTTTTCTAAAACCTTAATTCATCGCGCGGTGTTAGTATATTTTTAAATTTTCCATTTAGGTACTTTTTTTTCTTTTTGGTTTTTTCCCTAAATGTTATTCTTGATTTGGCTTGTTATTCACAGGCTGAGAAAAACTGAATTTGGAAAGACTATGTCGATACCCCACCACCTGTAACATCTCCTTCAAACCTTATCCCCTTTTGTCACAATGTAGAAGAACAAGACCAATTTTTTATCCTCGCAAGCACAAATTGCACAAGACAACGTCCCCGCAACAACTCTGTTGATCATTAATCCTGATTTTGTAGGAAGACACGTCTCCTATCAATCTCCAACAAAATATGCATATTTACTTTATCGTGTAAGAGTATACCCCATAATTAAGGCAATAATAGCATAACTCATATTAGTTATTTATTTATCTCAATAGAAAAAATCAGTTTTTTTTAAATAAAATTTTGAGTTTGAGTTTTATAAAAAAAAAAAAAAAACAAGAAGCACTAGAAAAATTTTCCCTTATGAGATTTAATCTAATTTGATTTTAAATTAATTGAGATCCAATCTGAATTTTAGATACCAAGTAGTTTAGTAAGAAAAAAAAAAAAAGCGTAACCCATCTTACAAATTAGTTAAATACTAATTTTAGTTCTTAAACTTTGAACTTTAAATAATTCTTGTTTTTCAATTATTTGCAGCACTTTTTTAATTTCTATTTCTATAAATTGTACTTTTTTTTTTATCATTTCGTTCGATTGAAATAATATGATAGTTACCATTTTAAAGTTTTATTTTCCTTTAATTTTTTATGATATTTCCATTATAAATAAATTCCTTCACTTAGTTGGACAAAATATGTGGAGTTCATGCTTCATATTGACAATTTTAACTTAAATGAATAAAATAAAATAATAAATTAAAAAAAGTAAAAACCATACACCAATTAAATTTATTATAAATTAAAATATTAAAACTTTCAAAATAATCAAAAGTACTTCTAAAATCTTCCTATTCCTTCTCATACTTCTGCTCCATCAAAAACATTTTTGGGTACCATCAGTCCATGAAAACTAATGTAACGATGTGTTATTGGCACATCATAAAAAGAAGTATAGTCTAAATTTGAGTTAACAATTACATCATCACTTAACCAATAAAAGGATGAAAAAATTTCAATTTTTAGAGATAAGAAACAAAACAAATATTAAAATAATTTAAGAGCTTAAAGTGTTCAAAATCTAAATTTTAGAGACTAAAATCCACATTTAACCTTATAAATTTGGTTCTCAATTATTTCCTGCTTAGGCTCCATTAGATCACTACTGCCTTTTGCTAGATGTAACCACCGCCCACGTCAGAGCCCGTCGTCTTTGAAACAATTCACTCATCTTGCACAAATCATTAGCCGGGCTTCCTCCTGGATTTCCCAGTCAAGTGAAGGGCAGCTCCAGGATCAAGAGTCATTAATACACGAACCCAAATCCTTGGTTAAACAGTTTTGTTAAGACATATGAAAAAATCTAGGAAATGTGGACACCGAAACACTTGTTACCTTACCAAAAATCAAACTACACCTTGATTTTAGCACTTTTGCCCAATAATTTCCAGCGGAAACCATCAAGAATTGAAATTATGACCTCTTCTTTTCTAGTAGGGCTAAAATCCTTCATTTGTCTCTTAAATCTTCTAATATAGAACAGTTTCGTCCTTAATTAACCTTCTTTTTGTGACACCATTAATCTCTAACCTTTTGAAAAATGTCTATCGTTAAGTAGTCTGTTCCTTTCGTTTGGGCGTTAATTTTAGTGGAAAATAACGACATGAAGAATAGAAATACTTTTAATAAACATTTTATTAAAATAAGAAAAGATTTGCTAGGAGAAGGTGTTCCACGTTAGAGTCCATTGAGGGGCACGCCAATAACTATTTCATCAACCTTCGTTAAATTGTTAAATTTAACGTCATCAGCAAGTTGATGAAAGCACCAATGGTAGATCTTTTTCGAAAGGTTTGGGACTGTTGGTGATATGAAATGAAGGTTAGGAGAAGGTGTTCCATGTCAAAAAGTTAAGGATAAAAAGAGCAATTTAACCTTCTTGGAGACACGTGGAAAGAATCACTCCAAAGTCCAAATACTAGAAACCGATTTAATTTGGACCTAATTTTTTCTTGAGTTACACAACGTTCCCATTTCTTAAATCTCTTTTAACGTGTTTTAAGATTTAAATTTGTTGAAGTTTTTAATATAAAATTTTAAATTCTTAATTATTAAGATATTTTTTAAAAAATAGATTTTTTTTACATATTGTACAGTGAATTATTCAAACTAATATACACATAATTAATATGTACCAAAAAAAATATATATGTATATATATGCACATAATTAATGTCCCAATTCATATTAGGATCTGACAGTTGTGATTTTGAGTTTTATTTTTTCCCTTTTCTTGTGGAATGTTCTGTACATATTTATGAATAATAATTACAGTTTTAAATCTTGTGGTTAGTTTGGCACGAATTAATATTCATTCATATGTTTAATATGTTTCATCAGTTTCATTATATTAATACATAAAAAAAAAAGAAAAAAGAAAAAAAAGAGATCAGATAGAGAACACAGGGTTTGGATGAAAAACATCAATGAAGGAAGGAACTTAATTATTAAATTAAACATTGGTTATATGTTCAATAAATTTATGAGAAGTGCAGGTGTTGCTAGAGAGCTCGCTTCACATGCAGAAGGCACAGGGTTTGATTCCCCGCACCTCCTTTTTTTCTGCATTTTTAGTCCAGATTGCACATGCTGGCTATTCACAGGGTAACCAGATTTTTATTTACAGAAGACTAACCAGATTTTCAGTCCCTATAGAGTATGGCTGTTCACATGTAGGCTCAGAAAACTGAAATTTGAAATTAAGACAATCTGGGTCCCCCATCACCTCTAACATCTGCTTCAAACATTATATCCTTTTTCACAACGTAGTAGAACAAGATCAACGTTTTCTTCCTCACAAGCACAAATTGCGCAAGACGCGTGCCCACCCCACTAGCCAGGGCAATAATTCATTTTATAGGAAGACTATTCGATATCAATCTCTGACCAAAATGCATACTTTGTTGGGCAATAATTTACTCCTTAACATTTTGCAAATTTGGTTCTCAATTATTTCTTCTTCTTCTTCTTCTTCTTCTTCTTCTTCTTCTTCTTCTTCTTCACCTTTAGAGTCTCATTAACTTAACTTTTATATATTTTGAGATTAATACTTCCTTTGGATTGTCTTAAGGGGACATCTCCCATGTCAGCATGTTATATTTAAAAAAATTATATTTTTAGATGTTGGCCCTAAGTAAGAGATTATGGAGGAGAGAGATTTAATTAGGTCAATTAATTAAATTTAATTTTTAATTAAATCTTAATCTGTTTTATTAAATTGTAATTATTTAAGTTTTTTGAGAAAATTATTACATGTTAGGACTCATTATCACTCAATTAAATTGTCTTTGTCCTATTTTATTTCATTTAATT